TCCTCAGGGCTACTGACTTAGACTTCAAGTTCTGATTTCTATTTGATGTGCAATATTATGGAGAAAAATCTTTAAAAAAATGGGGAAGGCTCAAAGTTTTAATATGAACATTGACTGTATGGATATTGAACAGCATCTGAAATACTAAAATGGCTAAATTGATTGCCAGTGTTTATGCTGAATACTGAATCTGTTAAACAGGCTTATATCTTCTATAAAGTGAATTCGGTTGTACAAACATTTGTAGTGCAGCTGCACTACAACTGCAACATATAAAACATTTGGAAAGGTAGGGCAATTTTGGTGCCAAGAGTCACCTCATGCAAAGACCCTGTGAGCTCTACATTTGGGTCTCGCGAAATTGCTAATTAAAAAAAGGAAACAGTATTTTCCCTGATTGAATTGTTTCTACAAAGAATCATTACATATTAGCTGAGAATAATATTTAATTTAGTGTGATATTTATTAATCACAGATGGGAAATCAAAAGTTCCATTTTATTAAATCTTCCTTTCTCCATATCAGAATATGAACCTTAAATCTTCAGGTGTAATTACTGTAATTAGTTCAAAAGCAATCCAGATGATACATTCAAAGGGGAGAGAAAAAAACAAGCCTTGGAGCAGTAAACATCCAATGGTGTGTGTAAGAGTTCCATGACTTACTATAAAAAATTATTTTGCCACTTAACTTTGATCATTTTCTACCTTTTTAGCTTTCCTGCTGTAATCTATACGCTGTGGAGACACTCCTCTACTCCATCATATAAGAGAGATAAAACTGACATTAAAATTTAAACCATCAACATTAAACTTCTTTTTAAAAGAGTACTACATTTTAATTATTTGTAGAGAAATAATGTACAAGGATAAGAAAATAGGTAATGAATGAATATTTTTCCCTTTTGTCCTGTACGGAAGCATATATTACTGCTTCACTGTTGCTTTTTCATTGTTTTCAATTTCCCAGCAGAAAAACTGTGTAAGATATTAAAACAAAACAAAGTAAAATACCAAATAGCTATGGCTGACCATTACAAAAACATCCAAAATACTGAAATGAGATACTGCTTTCTGAGAAATGTTGTTCAGACCCTCCCTTTCAGTGGAGCCTGAAGGAGGATTATTTTTTTAAAGTATCACTGTGCCTTATTCTCACAATATATTTAAACTAATCACTTACCACCCAGTATTACAGTGGTTGAAAAGATGGTCCTTTTGCAGTTGCAAAGAACCCTGGAGGAAGCAGATTATCTAAACTCATTCAGTCAGGTTTCAGGGCGGGATTCACTACTGAAACTATTTTGGTTGTGCTTGTTGATGAACTGGGGCAGAGCCTGGATAGAGGTGCTTTGTATTCCTTAATCTCAGTGGGGACTTTGTGTTCAGCAATTGGTGAGTTAGTATGATTTCTGTTCTGGTAGAGCCACTAGTAAAGAGATTTGGTTGGGATAGTAGCTAATTTAAGTGTCTTGTGAGGGCCAGGCCTGTCACTTTTTCCCCCATGCTTTTACTAGACTCCTATGTAATGTATCAATTTAAAAAAAAGCATTCAGGGTTGTTGCTTTTTTTAAAAAAAATACAAATACAATGGATGGTGTAAATATAACTAAATTAGATGGGGGGGAGGAAGAGAAGAAGAGGAGGAAGAGAATAACTGTGAAAAAAGAAATCTGATCTTGCGGAGTCCTTGGGGTTCTCTGAGCTTGGTTGTTTTCTTGCAGACATTTCATTACCCGGCTAGGTAACATCTTGAGTGCTTGAAGGGAGTGGGGCTTGCTCTCCGTTTATATGCAGTAGCTTGTCCTGTCAGTGTTGGTGGGGGTATTGTTTCCTCCTTGGTATTTCTTGATTAAGCAGTTGTTTATTGCTTGATTGTCTGTCTGAGTTGGTAGTTCCTTGTGATTGTATCTGTACAGGATGTTTATCTTTCATCTCAACACTATCTGTTGTCACATTGCATGCACTTTTAAATTCATTGATTTTCAAGTGCCAGTGAAGTTTTAGGAGTTTAACAAGATATAAGAATGCATTGTCGGCAGATAAAGTTGATTAATGGCAATAACGGAAAAGAAAAAACTGTAGCAACCTATCAGACCACAAATGGTATATATCATTACATTTTACACTAAATAAACTACATCCTTGTTTCATATTCTATGCAGGTTTTTGCCCTTTGCCAATGCTAGGGTTCTTATATGGAAGATTTCTGTGAACAAGATTAGTGTACATATCTTTAAGATAGGAGTGGACAATTACTTTGGTTAAGTGAGCACTTTTAAAATTTTGAGAACATGTCATGGGCACTTTCACAAAATGGCTGCCCTGGAAGTATTGCCTATTTGCAAAATGGCTTTGATGGGAATCATGATCAGTTACCAACACTTATGAGACAAAAAACTGGTGAGGTTATTCTCTGCTATCCCTTCTATTTGATAAGGATGCTGCCAATCATTCCAGCTGTCTTTATTCTGGGCAGGCAGGGACCTTCCAAACAAAGCATCAGACTGCTGCCATCCAGTTTTTATTTTCTAAAATGCCATGGGGCTTATATAGAGCTTGGAGTTATTCCTGTAAGTAAAGATGATTTGCAACATGCTTCATTTTCAATTATTTTTAAATTTAAAAAGTATTTAAAGTATTAAAACCAGGTGGGACAGTACCAGGAGTACCAGGAGAGGCTCCTCTGGGCAGATTGGTGTTCAGATGCATCATATTGGCATACTTTGGCCTTTAGGATGATGGGAAAACATCCTTAATCTATCAGATAAAGTTAAAAATCTATGTGATATGCCTTTTAAATCACAAAAGCAGAAAAGGCAACTGCAACTATGGTGTTCACATAATGCTCAGCAGGACATATACACAATCTCCCATTGGAGAGGGTTTGCCAGAGTTCTTGTATATTTTAACAGGGCCAGAATTTATTCTGTGTAAGCTCAAAGTAATCGAGAAAGTAGTTCATATTAAACAAAACATAAATGTTTGCATTCCTATATCTTCCAGCAGCATTTTCAAGATAAGAATCAGTGTTGTAGTTACTTGTTTATTAATCAATCTGTTTCTCTCCTGATGTAAAAGAGATTCTTTATTCCCTACTGTAAAAAGTTTGGTGAATGCATATAGATCTGTTATTCCAACTAATGGTCATTATGGGAGTCAAAATCCAAACACACAGGGAGATCGCCACATTGCTAATAGCTATGGCCCAGCAGAATAACCACATTCTCTCTGGACTAGATAATACAGTAGTTGGTTATGGCCAAACTGACATAACATAAATTAGATAGAATATTCTTGGCCTGTAGGACTAAAAGTTCAGTGTATTCTAAATGGTATCTAGCATTTTACTTAAAAAACAAGGTTTATAGCTCTGGAATACTTTTGGACCTTTGTTAGCATTAATTTCTCAAATAATAGCAGTGGTCATGAGTGCATATTTCCAGTTTTCAGTAAGTATCTGTAGGTGACATATCCGGTTAGAGTTACTTGTGTTTTAGTTACAGCCATATCAGATTACTGTAACATACTCTACATAAAACAGATTTGAAAAAGTGACCAAAATGTTCAGATAGCAATTTTCATAACAACATATAAAGGCAAAAAACATGGTTTATAAATCAAATTGGCTGATTTACATAACACAGAAGCCACCAACCTCTCCCACACACACACACATTTTGACTTAGTATGTTGTGTGACCACAACCAATGTATTTGTCAGAGTTTTATTAGTTATGGTTTGATGGAACTCATACTATGCATGGAGTATCTCTGGCCCTTGGAGGCTTTCCATCTGGTCAGCTCACAAATTAGAGCTCTGCCCTCCCTCGGGCACCTCCAGTCCACATCTAATCAGTGAGAAAAACTACTTAAATAAGATCCATTGTGTTCAATGGATACTGTTTTACACACTCATGAAGAGTGATGTAAGGGCTAATCAGTATTATAACCTTCCTTTAAAAGTTGCTCTTCTGCACTACTGTGAAGTTTTAAAAAGCCCACATGGAAGCAGTTTTAAAGAAGGGCTGCTATTGAGTAGGGAAGGGCTAGTCCCAGTACTGGAAGCCCTCAAAAAATCAGCTCCGTGCTGAAATCAGGCCTTTAAATTATCTCCATTGTTACTGGAGACTGTCTTAAAGCCTAATTGCTAGGTGTGTGTATGCATGCACTTGTGCCCATGTGCCTTCAAATGCATGTGTATAGAGAAAGTATATGAGTGACATAGCTGCTTCCCCAAAAGAGGATCCTTCTCCTCATTTTACATAAACTTTACTGGCTGTCATTAATGATTCATTTCCAGGTACAGTTCAAAATACTGAGAAATATATTACTTTTATAAATCTAAATGGATTAGAATAAATATAAAAACTTCTCTTATGGCCCTGTTTACCTTCTGTGACCAAGTGACAATGCCCTTCTGCTGTTCTCATGGGATACATTTATTATTTATTTATATCACATTTAGTGAGATCAAGGAACAGGATCTTCTCTGTAGCAGAAACCAAGAAATGAAATTTCTTGTTCTGTATCATTATTTTATTCATTAATTTATGTCTCCAGTTAAAGACATCTATTTAGAGAAACATACAGCTTGACTTTTTTTTCCGACCTCTAGTTTAGTTCTCTCTTCTCTAAGGAGCTGAAAGAGACATTCATGCTTTTCCCTTCACAACTAGTAGCAGCCTCACAATTCCATAGAGTTGGTTAGATTAAGGATAGGCTGGAATCACCCAGTGAACTCCATTGAGTAGCATTGCAAATTGGATCTTTACAGTCCAGTCAGATATTATAATGCCTATTCTTTTCTGGCTCTTAGCAATTGTTTTGAGTTGACCAAGACTTTGTTCTATTTTGGGGTTCAGACTTCAAGAAAAGCCACAATTACCTAATTGTGCAAACTCAACTGTCATTTGCAAATCATGGATTTTGGCTAAGTGTAATGTGTAAAGTGTAAATTTAGTTCCTTTGGCTTATTTAATAAACCATGGTTAAATAAACCATGAGTGTCCAACAGGTGAATCCTTCTACCATTACCCACCTTGAGGATTATGGGATGGGAAGGGAGAATAGAAATTGCAACATAAATACTTAATTATACACTCTTTTTGCGCTTAAGGAATATCCTCTTCAGTATTTATCCTCATCTCCAGGGCAAAGAGAATGGGATAACGGCAGGTATTGAGCGCTTTAATCCTAAGTAAACAAAATCTCTTTTAACTTAAATTACTTAATTTGCATTTAAGTAACCTCACAAGACTTTGTGAGGTTACTTAATGCTGAGGGAAATGTCACTCCACCCTATGCAAACACAGGCTGCCTGGGAAGACGCCACTCCGAAAGCCTTTCCCCCCACCCCCACAAGTAACCGAAACAGGAGGCCAGCCTTAACCTTACGTGGGCTTAGAACACCGGTGCGCTCAGAAGGACGGGATGCGCCGGTATCACCCCGAAGCAGCGCAGAGCCGCAGCCTAAGTTGAAGGAGCGGCGGGCTGCCCATCGCTTTTCCCTCTCTTGCCGGCATCTGGGGGCGTGTTTCTACGCCGGGG